ATCTATACAATATATGAGACATTTTGCCGATCGATATGCTATAATAGATATAACGAACTTATAATTACACAGTTAATAATTAAGTACAAATTAAGTTCATAGCTACTTTATTTTGTATATTTACCATGAGTGTTTTCAAATTCTTGTTTTAGACTTTGTTTCACATAACAAGTAAACTTAATGGACTACTGTATACAATTAAAATGAAAAACAATTTTTTTCAATAGAAACTTTGCAATCACTAAGACATTCAAATGAGTGCACAGTTATGATATCTCATCATAAGACCCATACCGTACTGAATAACATGCTTAGTAGTGGTCAGGGAGGAAAGGGAGATGAAATCGAAAAGTAAAATAAATATTTAGTTAAAAACGGAGATATTTGTTGATAAGTCACACATTACACTGAATTTTACACATTAATGATTGCGATTAATTTTGTCAAAATGTATAATTTGTTACAACTTTTTAATTTTGAATAAATTCTTTAATAATTTAGTTTAAATGAGATTATGTGGTAACAGCTAAAAATTGTGAACATGAATTTAAATAAAATTGTCTTTAAAAACTTAAAAACTATTTAAAAGGCACTTACAGTATTTTATGCAATTTAATGAGTTAACAAACAAAAATAAATCATCAAAGTATACCAAAAATTAATTTTTAAAAGGTTTAATACGATAATTATTACATTTCTAACTAAATATATAACAAATAATAAAATAAATTCTTTGCAAACATTTCAAACTCACCGCTCAATCAACCAATTGGTAGACTCTTATGAAACCAAATCTTAAGTATTGAAAAAACTTTTTAACAAGTTTTGATTAAAATTCTTAACAAAATCTTAAAAACTATTGTCTCATTCAATGATAACTCTCACAAAACAGTGATAATACAATGAGATAATATAAACTATCGTAACGTTTGGACACAAAGTGATAATAACTACTCTCGAAGAATGTGGTCGACTTCGGCAAGAGGTCACTAGACATCACTTTATAAACCCCGCACTAGTAGTGTGTCGGGTGCACAACGACTGCAAAATTGCACGTATAGTAGGGCGGTGTGCAAAACTATATACTTTCAGTGTATACCAGTTAATAGGCATAGTCCATAATAGTTAAGTTAATTATAATTAACTTTTAAAAATATAGCTAAATCATGAATATAATTAATTTTATTTATATAAAATTTTAATTTTTGTGGTTTGTATGTGTTTAACGAGTTATCATGGTGTTTTTGGTGTTCATTGTAACCAGTGTTGAGGGTATGGATTACTTTCTCCAGAATGATCTAATGATGTCATCAATACGTCTGTCGTCTCATTGGTTGCCCAGAAATTACAGCCACAAACATATTGCCATTACATTGATTATGCAATCGTATGAAATACACTACAAAATCAATAAATCAATAATTTATAAATAAATATTTCTCTTAAAAGTTGATATAAACTTTGCTAAACTTTGATAAAAAAATGAAAATTTATAAAAATTAATAATAATCTAAAATAACAGATAATTTGTAAAGTAAAAAGTATCAGAAAAAAAGTTTTAAACTTTCAGTTCCAATACAAATGAATGCATTATTTATGTGTTAAACCATAGCATAAGTCTATGATATCATGAAAAGTGGCGATAAGTGTAAACAACACTTGAGTTTCAGTCAAACTTTTCGAGACATTTAAACATTAAATACACTTTCAGTGTGTGTTTTGTGCGCCTGTATTACCGTTTGTGTGACCAATACTAGTGGACAGGGAGTACAGCGATGAGTGGGTGCGCGCGTGTGGGTCAGCTCGTGAGCAAACAGTCGGCGCTATTTCTGTGCGATATTCAGGAGAAGTTCCGTCAAGGGATCCAATACTTCCCGGCCATTGTCGAGGTCTCCCACCGGGTGCTCAGGGCCTCCAAGATATTGAATGTCTGTCTCATAGCTATTATTATGTTTTTGTGTTTTTTCAATGCGTTTAACGCTTATATTTATTTTTATACAAAAATTTTTAGTGTTTTGTCTCCAATTAATTTAACACTTGATTTGCCGGCAATACTATCAATACTATCGTAACTGTTGTTAAACTCATTGCAAACATACCTCCCATTCAATAGCCTTCACATTCACACAAATATCAGTAATTGTCATTCAAAGCCTTATCTAAAGATTTTGATTTAGTTTTTTTATTCACATTTAATTCATATATAATTATCTCATTTGTTAAGCCCATCACTGATTAGCTAACAAATCCTATCTTTTATTTATTTTACAACTATTTCTGTCATTAGTTTTTATCGACAAAAAAGTTTTTAAACTTTTTTATTAGACATTTAATTGACAATTTTTTTATAAACTAATTTTTGAGTACTTTTCTAAGTTGACAAAAAATAGTTTTTTAAATTAATAATTACAATAAAACTATTAATTTCATGAATAGATAAAAGTGATGATCGATTCACACGTTTACACTGTATTTCATAACTCAAAACATTTGATTTTAAATTTGATTAACTTTTGTTTTAGTAATTTTAATATCAATTTTAATTTCAAACTAAATTTTTTATGCGTTAAATGTGTTCATCAAAAGTTGTTTATTTAATACAAAAGACAACTAATTATTGTTTAATTATAATTACATTTTGACCGCACATTAGATGCCAGTCGTTGTCACCGAACAGTACCCCAAAGGTCTGTAAAACTAATTTTACAATTAATTATTTTATAGGAAATTATAGATCAATTTCTTAAATGTTATGAAAATTAAGTATTTATTACAAAATGTGTGAAAAATAAACGCAAATACAATACAGAATTGCTGTCATTGGGTTAAACCCGTGGGAAAGGGATGTCAATACAAAACAATACAAAATACCAGAATATAAATACGAAAACATAAACTAATTACCAAATTATAAGTTAATCAAAATATTTATACAAAATAAAACAAAATTATTAAAAAAGGTTATAAATTATACAACTTATAAATTGAATGTATAACTTATATTTTATGAGATCAATTAAATTGATTATTGAGTTATAATTAAGGGTTATATTAGTCATGAAATAATAGCAAATAGTGATCAGTAGCCGAATGATAGCCTAATAATTGCGGCCATAGATTGATCGGTGCTGATGGTCGCGACCACCGAAGACTTTGTGTGGCCTATACTTAGGCACCGCTCCCTTGCATTTGGTGCCACATTTGCCGCACGGACTCAATGGACAGACCTCCAGATGTGCGGCCAATGAGTGCAATGGCATCACTCGAGGACATCCATTGGCGGCGAAACGACACTTAATGGTGAGCTGTGAGACCCTGTCGTGGATGCGTTGGTTGATTGGCGGGAACTGATGGCTGGTGTGGTGTCGATCCCACACGAGTTTGTGTCCACACGCGGGACACACGAGTCGATTGGTGTGCAGAAAGCTGTTGAATGGGTTGTACTGGCGTTGGATCCGATGGATGCAATCGGAGCAGTAGTGGTGTCCGCACCCGATGTCCACCGCCTCGTACGCCACGTGAAAGCAAATGCCGCACAACAGGTCCGCAGCCGAAGACTCGGACAGACCTACGAATTGGTTGACAGGAATGCCCGGCATTTGTGGCAAACGTTTTGATCAAAACTTGTGATTAAAAGGCGATTAAAAAGACGAAAATAAGTGTCAAATGAATAGTCAAAGCAAATAGCCTTCAATGCAATGCATTACTCATCAAAAGAGTTACAGTTTTCTCTCATTTAAAGTCAACTTTTCATTCATTACTTCATTATTTCATTTATTCATTTTCAGTGACTTTTAGGTTTTAGAAAAATATTTTTATTTCATATTTATTTGATATTCTGCTGAACATTATCACACAATTAGTTTGCGTTTATTTCGCACACATGTTTT